TAGCAGGCGGACCTTCCAGTCGTCCGGTTCGTTGGCGAATTCGACTCGGAACATGTCTTCCCATCTGGTGAACCAGGAGTCGAAAGTGATGCCAGAGTCTGGATCGTAAATGAACTCGGTGATGCTCGCCGCGATCACCTCTGCTGGCGTGGCCTGTCTGGAACTGGGGGCGTTCGTTGACTGAAGACAGCGATCGTAGCATGGCTTCGATTTGCGACTGCTGCTGCTGCAGGATCGACTTCAGTTCTTCCGCGGATATAGACATCGTGGGTTAAGTGAGATACCCGTCGCCAGTTGTGTCCGAAACCCGATTGATCACAATATACACACAACAAGATATCACACGACGACACACAAGGAATACACGTACCTCAACGGCCCCACTAGTCGTTTAGCCCCACGAGTACGATCACTGCACAGATTTAGACGCCACGAGCACTAGTAGCCTTCTCTCAGCTACGTAAACAAGAACACAGATAGTGCACAACGAACGTGTACTTGACACACGGGAAGCGAGTCAATTTACAAGTTTTACTCTGATGCTTGTATGTGACTCAAAATAGCGTCGATTAATGCAAGAAAAAGGTGCCAATCAAGTACACAGTTAGCAAAGTTCAATCGGTCATAGGTCACGGATCAGACAGACAGAGTGAATATTTCCGTGTGACGCAATATTTTTGATTAATCTCTGTGAGATTAGTATTGATTCGAGATGCTCCTAATTGAAAATACTCGAAAATAGGCAGTTTTAGGTAAAAATAGTCTTTTTACCTAACACCTCTCCTTTTCTATTTAAATTTAGTGTAGATTTGATTATAGAAACAGCCGTATCCTCGTGCGAGGAAAGTGACATTGATTTACTCCCAGGTGACAGGCTGTCTCATTTAGAATATGCAGATGACCTTGTGCTGCCAAGTGAAAATACAGGTAAGTTGCATGCTTTTTTGAACAGCTTGAATGCCAGTGTAGCGACATTCGGCATGCGATTTGCACCTTCGAAGTGTAAAATGCTACTACAAGATTGGGTTGATCCAGCGCCGTCTCACCCTAACTGGGGAAGTCGTAGAGGAAGTAGACAAATTTTGCTATCTAGGCAGCTACATCTCACCCATTGGACGCATCACGGATGAAGTGTCGGCTCGCATACAGAAGGCTCGGTTGGCATTT